ATATAAAGAGTCAAGAAGAACGCACAGTAAAAACAATCAAACTGTCCGAAGGGCAGGAAAACGCGAGTGACCAATTCATAAAAGCCGATTTTATTAGTACTTTACCACGTCTCAACTTCTTGGCTTGCCTCTCTCCTTCTTGCAGCCGCCAATCTCCAAAAAAAAAACCCCGTACCTGAGTCTAAGTTAGTCAGTCCTTCATTTAAAACACGCGAGAGCTATCTGGGTTTCTTGTCACTCGTGTATGCTGCCACTTTTGCGGGATCTGCTTTCATGCCACTTCTCTCTGCCAGATCAGATTTCGTTCACAGATACTGCTTAACTTGACAAGTGAAACGTACGGCTTTACTTCTTAGCCTCACTGCCAGCACTACTTGTTCCGCGTTCGTGCTGTTCTTCACCACTAGATTCTAAGGGTGCACTGTCACTATCCTCTCTGTCAATAATGAGGAATTTCTCCGCCCAGTCTCTTTTAAGTCTGTCATAAGCTTTATCAAAATTTCGGCGAATGTGGCAGTGCTCGCCGATATTCAGGTGACTCTCTAGTTCACTGCATTTTTTAAAAACCATGTTGTAGCCTGGCTCAGAACAAGCGAAAAGATCATTCGATTTTTCACCATCACTATTTATTGTTGACTTATAGAGCCAAGCCGCCTTGAGCAGTAAGAAGATCTCATTTACAACAAGTCCTGTAGGACCCTGAGGCTTTACGATTAAATCTTGGTAAGGAATCAGCTTACCCTGCCCAATACCATAAGCTCTCCATATTCGCATTCCTTCCCCCTTCAAACTTGAAGTTGTGAAAGAAATTAAAAACAATCCAAAGAACTAAGAAACAGACCGTTTCTAAAACATACCTTTGGAGTAGCACATGTTGTCCAGGTTCCTCAGGGTACAGTCAATCCCTTTTTTTGGAAACGTATTTGCTGTGTATTTTTCTGCAGTCTGTGCAGATTTCTGTCAAATCGACACTGGATTTGTAATTTTTAGAGAGGAAAAATAAGCAATAGTAATGTTAAAACTGGGATGGGGCACTTATATCGGAACAAATTAAGGCTGGGAGAGTAAGATCCATACCCAACCATATCCATCTACTTTTCCCGCCAATCCCCACCGCCCCCTCTTTTCGGGGGCCTCTAAATTACAATCCAGTTTCTCCTCTTGGAAGGCTTCAGGAACAGTAAACTCCTTTCTTTCTTGCTTTATACTT